CTTTGTTACATAACGAAATCACGAACCGTTTGTTGGGTTGGATTCGTAACGTCCGGAGCTACGATTTTTGTATAATAAATAATTCGAGAAAATGGACAGAAAATTACAGAATTTACGAATAAGTTGCAGCTGCGTTTGAACTCAGGATTTTAGAAAACCTTGATATTTCTTCTTGCTCCTTCTTATTCCTTTAGCACAAAAATGGAGTTGAATGAAGCTTGTCTCCCCCCTTCTTAAATTGCCGACAGTGAGAGAGAGGATGAAGAGAGAGTTGAGAATGTGTGAGATGATTGGACACTACGCCAAAAACATCATCAGACCACTGTTGATTCACTACTGTTTATGCAAACACAGTAGTTGAAAAAAAACAGACTACTGTTAGTTTTTCTTAAGAAAGAACAGTAGTCTAGCTGCGATGCTTTAAAACTATTTTTCAAGTTTCGAGAAACGGTAATGTATCATTAGTTGTCTGTCTCAGTTCAAGATACAGTTTTTCTTACAACAGTTGTCAATAACAAGTTAAGAATACTCTTTTTAAACAATAGTCTGGGGTTTTATTCTAGAACTGTTTTTAAATTTATTAGAAACAGTTATCTAACGTTTGTTGTCTGTTTCATATGGGTTTTTTGCCACTGTTGTTTATAATAGGAATAGAAGACTCTTTTAGAACAATAGTCTATAAATTATGGGTAGAACTGTTTTTGAAGCTGTGAGAATAGGTCATCTATTATTAATAGTCGGTTTCGTAAAAAAATACAGTTTTTATTGCCACAGTTGTCAATAATTAGTTAAGACTACTATTTCTTAACAGAAGTCTGGTTTCCCAATGTATAACTGTTTTTAAACTTATAAGAAATAGTATTGTATTACAAGTAGTGTGTGTCACTATTTTTTTCACAGTTATCTATAATAAGTAAAGAATACTCGTTTTAAATAGTAGTCTAGCTCTTAAGCCTAAAACTATTTTAAAAGTTTGGAGATACGGTAATCTTTTTTACAATGAAAATGTATACGCTCTCTAACTTTACATTCATACTTGTAGGCAAAATTTATACAACAATCAAATAACCGTTGTCCCAAACAATTATACGGACATGAAAAAATAAACACTTCCATTGAAAGAAAAGAAAAAGTACATGGACAACACACAAAGAGAATTGGATGGGAACTTGGCCTCCTGGCTTTGGCATGGCAGCATCACCAAAACCATCCACAATAGATTCATCACCTTTCAAAGCCTTCTTTTGACAGCAAACAAAATGGAGCTATCTTGGTCACTGCCTGGGCTATTTTTTTGGAGTTGAAGGTTTGTTGGATTCTTTGGTCCCAATTGCAGCAGTTCTCTTGTCCCCCTATCTTCATGCCCCTGTCCATACTATGGCTTTTCAAAGCATCACGGCAAACAGTTTCAGAAACCAAAGCATCACAGGAAACAAAATGGATCAAAGCATGACAGCAAACAAAATGGAGCTGTCTTGGTCACTGCCTGGGCTGTTTTTTTTGGAGCTAAAGGTTGGTTGGTTTCTTTGGTCCCAATTGCAGCAGCTGTCTTGTCCCCCTATCTTCATGCCCCTGTCCAGACTATAGCTTTCCAAAGCATCACAGCAAACAATTCCAACACAATCAAAACCCACCCCAAAACAAAACAAATCAAGCACTCCAAACCAACTCAACCCCCCCCCCCCCTAAGAGTTCAACTCAGTCACTCAAAAACTACTGCCCAAACAATCAAACAACTGTTGTTTTAAAGATTTATATGGACATGAAAAAATAAACACTTCCATTCAAACAAAATAATTTGTACATGGACAGGCTGGGTACTGTCCCGCTACACACAAAGGGAATTGGGAACCCATACAATCCATCAATCTCACATCATAAAACAAAAAAACAATTAGAAGATGGCAGGTTCATCCTTTAATCATCCATTCTAAAAGTAATCATACACACCTTAGAGTAGAAACCAAAATAGAAAAACACACCAACAAAACTTGACAGTACAAACCTTGGGAAAAGCCACCAAGTGAACAGCATTATTGTTATACCCAAAAAGCAAAAAAACAATGGCCATTAAGAATCCTTTGGAGGATCCAAAAAATGAGCAAATGAAAACTTTCATGGATTTGATTGATTTTTTAAGGCCAAAGTTTGTGTTGATGGAGAATGTTGTTGATCTTTTAAAATTTCCAAGTGGGTTTCTTGGGAGATATGCTTTAAGCCGGCTTGTAGGGATGAATTATCAGGCACGGATGGGTATGCTTGCAGGTGGAGCGTATGGCCTCCCACAATTTCGCAGGCGTGTCTTTTTGTGGGGTGCCCTTCAAGGAGAAAAGTTGTCACAATTTCCTTTGCCAGCCCACAAAGTTGATAGTAGAGGCGTCATTTCCAAAGAGTTTGAGTGCAACAATGTTGATTATGAAAACCATGATGTCAACCTAAAGGACGCACTCTTTCTTGAAGATGCCATTTCCGATCTTCCAAAGGTTGAGAATACTGTGGTTAGAGAAGAGATGCATTATGTTGATGATCCAAAAACTCATTTTGAGCAGTTTATAAGACTTGGGCGAGAAGGTGTGCTTGGACAAGTTTTGTATGATTGATAGGCGTGTCGTAGCACCTACAAATTAATTTATTATTTTCCTTAACCTAAATCCTCCTTTATTAATTAATATTCATTAAAACATATATATAGGATAAGTAAGGGTCGATCCCACGAGGAAAGATACATTTTATGGTTATGAAAATCAGTTCTCTTGTCACTTTTATTGAATATAAACTAATTAAAATCTAAAAAATAAACTAAAGGATATTGGGGGGGTTTGAATGATAATTCTAAAAAGATAAAAATGCAAATAAAATAAAGGTAAAGGATAAAAGATAAGAGATGGAACCACAGCAGCAACTCGAACTCAGAAGACACTCAGGGAGAAACAAACACACAACCAAACACACATTTAAACTTTATAAAACGTAGACAATAATAATTAACTTAAACCATTTTGAAAATACTTATAGTTTTTAATAGAAAATAAACTGCACAAATCTGATTAACCAATTAATTATGCCGGGATTCTGAAATTAAACTTCTAATTAAACTGAGGATTAGGCTTAAGAAGAGGTCCACCAACAGTTCTTCCCTATTTTCCCATTCATATTAGCTCATGTTAGGACCAACCCTAACTCTAAACCCTACTACCCTTAGCAACCCAAAGACCAACCCTTAAGTTACTACTAAGAATAGCGCATTAAGATTTGTGGAAAACATCACCATAACAATCTTGCAGTAACACTACGGTTATTTAACAAAATCAGTTCGAGAACCTTGATTAGCAAAAACCACTTAACGAGGAAGCCAAAGCTAATCAAGTGACACTTAGTTTCCAGAAAAGTTCGGCTATTTAAAGCACTTTGGACTTTAAAAGAATATAAATTTAAACTGGTTTAGGTCGCGATCCTAATTTGGTCCAATTTAAGTAAAATCTAGTGAATAATAGTTCTCAGAACACCATTTTGAGTTTAGATTTAACAATAGCGTAGACCTAAAATTCCTTCAAAGTCAAATTGATTCAACAAAAACAACCAAATCAAAGATTTAATCTTTTTGTCAAACAATCCGTCCTAAGAAGGTTTTATAATTTTAGAGACAATAATAAATCAATAAATCATATTTGAACAATTCAACATCAACACACATCCAAATCAACACTTATAATATAACTTAAACATTCAATAAACATGGAATTGAAAATAGACATATTTAAATATTGGAAGTCAAATTCATCAATTTGGGAAAATTAACAAAATCTAACATCCTCATAAGAACAAAATAAGATTGGAAAGGGAAAAAGTTGCTCCCTGGAGTGTGCTTCTTCGTACGGTGCAAAAACCCAAGCACCAGACTCCATTGCCTTCCTCCACAATAGCCGTTGCCTCTGTCCCCTACTCTAGTACCCGTCGCCACCATCGCCGGAGTTGAGTCGCCGAGTGCCGCGCCGGACCTAGGGTCGAAACCCTAGGTCTTCTCTCTCTGTTCCGTTTCCGTCTCCGCCCCCCTATTTTGTGTGGCCTCAACTTCTTTTATAATTGAAATGAGAAGAGATTGAAATGGAGGAGAAGTCTCCGTGCGGTCTAATGTTTGCTACTTTGCTCCTTCACGTTTCCTTCTCTTTTTTTCCTTTTGAGTTTTCTTTTTTTTTTGACATTTCAACGATATAAAGAATTTGGTAAATGGATTTCAATGCTCCTTATTAATCGGGCTGACTTTGATTTTGGCCCAATCACTTCTTCCTTTCTTTAATTTGGCTCCAATCTCCTGAGGTCCAGCTCTTCATTTCCTTCAACTTTTGATGTTTTAAAATATATCTAAAGAATTTTGTCAAGAAAAATAACACGTCCAAAAATAATTATCAAAATAATAAAAACGCTCAAAATAATGTATTATATGTATAATATGCAAACAATTGCCTAAAATGCTAAATATTACAAAATATGCTCATTTAGGTATAAAATGCATATTAAATATATCAAAAGTACTAAGAAATGAGAGAATAAAATACGACATTTTGTGACTTAACAATGATCGTTGTCCATTACAATTGAATGAAGACGATTATCAACTCGTATGCCATGTTCCAAAGAGGAAGGGCGCAAATTTTAGAGATTTACCTGGTATTCGCGTGGTTGGCAATAAGGTTGAGTTGGATCCAAATGTCAAAAGAGTGTATTTGCCTTCTGGGAAGCCATTGGTACCTAACTATGCTATCTCTTTTGTGAAAGGGACTTCGACCAAGCCATTCAAATGATTATGGTGGGATGAAACTGTCCCAACCGTTGTCACTAGGGCTGAGCCTCACAATTAGGCCATTTGTCACCCTGTCCAAGACCGAGTTCTCACAATCAGAGAAAACGCGCGGTTACAGGGATTTCCTGATTACTACAAGCTTTGTGGCTCCATCAAAGACAAGTACACACAAGTGGGAAATGCAGTTGTTGTTCGAGTTGCCAAAGCTTTAGGTTACTCATTAGCTCTCTCATTCAAAGGCTTGTCTGAAGCAGCCGCCATGTTTACGTTGCCCGAAGGATATGGCGCGATTCAAGAGCTACCAGCTCATCAAACCTCTCTTGCCGAATTTCCATAATGAAGTTTTTGAAGGTTGTTATTGATTGCGCTATGGCATACAGTTTTTTAAAGTAATTATTCTTTTCTTCTCTGCATTTGGACATGTTAAAAAAAACCCATTGTTGCAGTAAAATTTAGTTTGCTGCAGTTTGAAACATTTCATTGCTAAATTTGAAATACTATTCCCCATTATTATGACATCGACAAACCAAACATTGTATGGCTATTCAAATACTTTAAGCCTAATCAAACCAACTTGTTTTTTTACGGCATCAAATATATATGCAAATGCAATATTCTGTGTTTGGGTGGGTTGGAGTTTCATAGTGCGTGACTTGGGAAGAATAGGAAACTTCCTATATATTGTTATAATTATATTTTTCAAACTTTATTTTTATTTGTTGAATTGTATCATGCTTTACACGTAAGTCCATACTTAACAAACGGTTGGTCATCATTTTACGAGATTTACCCAAAAATGTAATTTTTACATAACAGGTCAACTGTACAAATATTTCGTATTTTTTACTATAAATATAATAAAATATTACATTTATTTCTATAAAAATAATGGCTCACTACGAAGCTGGTTTTCGAGTCGTTACATTTCTCTCCCCCTTACAAGAATTTCGTCCTCGAAATTTGTTAATCTAATGTATATGTCCACTCAAAACACATGCACACAGATAAGTGATTTGCAGTATAAAACGGGCAAAACTAACAACTAAAAAGAACCCTTGTAAGTAGGGTGTCGAACCTCAGGGAGACGTGAGTTAATTTAATTTTAACAAAAGTTTACAAAAGAAGTTGTAAAATATTTTTTGGTCTTTTTGGTTTTAGAGATAAAATAAAAAGTGTAAGAAGAGAGAGTTCCGAACAACACAAAGTTTTTGATGATAAAAAGTTAGGGGTAGAAATTGGTAAATTAATTGTCCAATGTTTTTATAAAATTTGGATTATCAATTTATTTTTATATAGAATGTGTGGGGTTGCAGAAAAATATTTAGGGACGCTCTCGCGGTTCACCTAAATAATAACTACTCCTACTTTAACACGCTATTGATAAATCCGGAGTAATTATTTAGTAACAATGGCAACCATAATTATTTTATTGTATGTTTACCCAATTTAATGGTGTAAAAACACAACTCAATAATTATGTCCACCCGAAAGTCTTCAATCCCGGTTAAAGGTAGAGAAGGCTTACGGTTTATTTAAAACGTGTTCTATTTTATGATTATATCAATTTTAGCTTATATTCCTTGTAACAATTATGTTTATGAGTGGGCGATTGATTAAAAATCACAAACATTCCAAATTTATTTATTTTTAAATACAACATCTAAATAAAATAAAATTAACAATCCATATTAAAATATTCAAAAGATTAAGATGGACAATTAATTACAACAACTTCTAACCCCAATGGAATTTAGAAGTACATTGTTTGAAACTTAAACAAATAAATATTTATTACAAACATAAAAATCTTACAAAATGGAAGATGTGTTCTTGAGATCCATATATGATAAATGATGATGAAGATGGAGTAATTTTTATGTGTTTGGATGAAGAAAGTGGTGAGATATTAGTGATGGAGGAGGAGAATTTCGGATTGGAGAGAGGAGAGAAATGGGGGGTTCCAACCTCTTAGCCCTTAGGAGAAGAGAGGAGATGGAATTTTATAATATGTCAAAACATCTCCTGTAGCGCACATGGAAATGCAACCTGTTGTTGTGCACCGTAACCCGTGTTCGAAGGTTCCCACCCTCTGTTTGTCATTTTTCTCTCTCAATTCATGGGCCGAATTTTAAAACAGAACAAAAACTATAACCGCCAGTAATGTAACGAACAATATCCTGTGGCTCGATGGGTCTTATTCTGATCTACTACCCGAAGTCCAGGGTTCAAAACCAAATGGCGTTTTTCTCCTTTTCTTTTTATTTAATTCCTTCTTTTCTTCAAATTTCTTCCATTTCTTTTTGTCTCAAATTTGCGTGTTTATTCTCCGTTCTTGCAATTATTATCAATGCGTCCAAATGATCTCAAAATACCTGCAAAACATATAAAACCAAGCATAGGATCGCTCTACCAAAGTAAAACGGAAAATTGACATAAAATGTAAATATTAATTCAATTGGGACTTAAAACTCCTTCAAAATATGCCTAAAAAGTGTATAAAATATGTGCATATCAACTCCCCCGCACTTAGAATTTTGCTTGTCCTCAAGCAAAATAAACTACAAATACAATCTTTACATGTGTTGTTAGAATTCACATACATAACTTTAAAAATCACACAACTATCCTTTTCTTTTTATTTAATTCCTTCTTTTCTTCAAATTTCTTCCATTTCTTTTTGTCTCAAATTTGCATGTTTATTCTCCGTTCTTGCAATTATTATCAATGCGTCCAAATGATCTCAAAATACCTGCAAAACATATAAAACCAAGCATAGGATCGCTCTACCAAAATAAAACGGAAAATTGACATAAAATATAAATATTAATTCAATTGGGACTTAAAACTCCTTCAAAATATGCCTAAAAAGTGTATAAAATATGTGCATATCAACTCCCCCGCACTTAGGATTTTGCTTGTCCTCAAGCAAAATAAACTACAAATACAATCTTTACATGTGTTGTTAGAATTCACATACATAACTTTAAAAATCACACAACTATCTCTTTTGTC